GGAAGGTGTCTCTCATTCTGCCAGAGGGGCCTGTCTGCGGGCCGGCTCTGGGAGGGGCCCTTCTCCCTGCTGTGTCTCAGAACTTTAATAAAAACTGACAGAGGGACATCCTTGGGGAGGGCCAGCGTGTACAGAACCACTTGCCCCAGACTAATGCAGTGTTGAATGCTTTTTGGGCTGGAGAAAACAGACTTGAATTCAAAGAAATTTTAGGATCCAGTCTCTCCAAATAATTCAGGAACTTCTAAATTTGGCCTTGTATTCATATAATGAAGCAAAAGAAAAAGGAGGTAGAAATACGGCTAAGAAGGGAGAACTAGAGCAGTCTTTGTAGCTGGGCTGCCAAAAAAGCTGGATATGGGATGGAAGGAAAAATGGTTGGGCTAGTAAAGTTTAGGAGAGAATTTCTTTAGCAGTTCATGACTTGTTTCACGAAATTCTGGAGAAAGCACCTGTTAGAGTTCCCCTTGATCATAGTGGTAGTATCTTCAAGGCTGGGGATAGTACAAAAACATTTCCTATAGGGAATCTAGGGACTCCAAACAAAAATACTAAGTAGTTTATAGGGACGTGTGCTTAACACTGCCCTACACAGTGTACGAGAGTAATTTAGGAATGAGAGGTACCGTTAAGCTCAGTGGCACAACGCCTGCCGTGTAAGTGTGAGGTCATGAGTTCAATTTCCAGCATCAAAAGCAAAACCAAAAAACCCCTTGTCAAATTTTAAAATTCCTACAAGTGGTTTTATGAATTTTAGGGCCACCTAGAGACTAACATTCCTCTCCCCTTTGAGATCTGAATGAGGGCAGTGCAAACAATGGGCCAACAAGCCAGAAAATGGGAGTTCCAATCACAGAATGTTGGAGCTACAAAAAGACCTGAGTTTATTTACTTCAGTGCCATCTTTGGCCAGTGAAAAGCCAGGCCCAGGAAGGTAGAGAAACCTATGGTGTTGGAAGAAAGGATAAAAAGGAAACTAACGTTAAGTACCTACTAAGTGTTAGGCACTATGCTGACTGCTTTGCTTTTAGGGTCTTGATTCTTGGGCATCTTAAGGGTAAGGCTTGGAAGGAGTAAAAGGCAAATCCCTTTTATTATCCTGAGCAATTTGTAGGTGATAAAGGAAGCAATGAGCCATTTTCTCCTCTCTGACCACCCAGGATGGACCTAGAGGAAGTTAGAGAGGGGGTAATCTCAGGAAGTACCTGCCAGATAGTTGAAAGGTACAGATAACTTGTTCATTCTAAATACCTAAAATGATGGTCAGAGGTCTGGTAAGGAGCAAAATTTTGATACTGCAGTTGATTTTCATTCTAGCTAATCAGGTCATGACCTGAGTATACAGGTTTAATCTTAGAAATTGAGGGGGAGGGGGTGTGAGGCCTCTATCCTAAGGCATCTTCAAAGAACATAGTGTTTTCGTGCTATGAATCAAAAAGATAAGTTTCTGTGTTTGCTGTGCTTGCTTTGGATTTTTTGCTTTTTTTAATGTTTTGTAAAACTGGAAGTCATGAAACTGGATTTTGTGATTTTGTAAAATGTCAAGTTTGGGGTAGGTGGGGCAGGTGGTAGAAAGCTGACAATGAGATTGTGTTCCTCATGGCTGTTTGATGTAGTATCCCGAGATTTGTTCCGTGAGACAGAGGGAATATCTCTAGCAGAGTCAGATCTGGAAGGCCTTAAGGGAGGATTCCACTCTTAGGAAGTGGGTCTAATGAGAGGCAAGTTTTATACCTGGATGGGAGATAGGAATTGGTATTTACAAGTCAGTGCATTAGAGAAGGTTACAAAATAGTACTCTAACAGGGGAGGCCAAAGCAAAGAAATAATCAGAAAACATGGAGTTGATCAAAAACTATCATTTAAATACAAAGATGGAGGAACACAGAACAGGAGGAAATTGAACAGCAAGAAGACACTCGTGGATGAAAGGACTTGGGTGTTCTGTGCAGAGGGCTGTGAATTTATGGACTAGGGGGCACAGGAAAGGAGGCTTGGGAGAGCATTTTTGGTGGCCTTGGTGGCCTGAATGAGGAACCAGAAATTGTCTCGGTGAGCAGTACAGAGAGCAGAGCATGAGGAGATGAGAGAGAGGATGAGGAGTTATGTCACCATACTGAGTCCAGGAAGCAGAGAAGTCCTTTGAGATGGTGGTGGCCTCGCCCAGGCATGAGGCACCCCCTGAGTCCACACCTGAGCAAGACGAGGGGAATCGCAGGGAAAGGGGTCCACAGGAAGTGGCTCACAGCTTTGAAATGAGGGGAAGGCGGAAAAGCTGCTCTCGATAGTGATCCCGGGACACATTTGTGCTGATGGTGGTGGTGAAAGCTTGGTCAGGGTAGCTGCTTGCTGCTTTGCTTTGACAGAGGAGCTGCTCATTAACCAGTCGATGGGACTTGCTGTGTCCAGTGCCACGCAATCTAGGAGGGGGCCCTGCCGCTGGACATTGGGGGAGTGAGTGCGGTATCCAGATGGTAACCCTGCCCTGTGCAGGGTGGAGAAGAGAGTGTGTGGTGGGGTGTGCCTGCAACCTCAAGAATGCTAGCCCACTCTGGATCTGGGAAATAAAAGACTGATTTTTGTCAGTTTCTTCCCTCAGTGCTGTGGAGAGGGGCTCAGACTAGCCTGGGGCAGCAAGTGCCGGTAGATGCACCGTTCTCTGGCTTGATTCTCGGAAGGCCTTTTCCTGTCCTTCCCTGGGGGTCGTTTGTACCTCTAGTTCCTGCTCCTAGAGCCATAAAGTGGGAGCCCCCATTTATTAATTGGGTTGGGACTGGGGAGGGGCCGGCAGGGGACTCTTTAGTGTGGCAGGTGGGGGTCTTCCCAAATGAGCCCATTAGCCAGCCCCAATGGCAGCTAAAACGGGGCCGCAGCCAAGTTCTCTCAGTTTCAAAAACCCACCATTGCCTGCAGCAGATCAGAACAAGGCCTGCGGGAGCCCTTAGCTCCTGATTGCAGCTGTGAGGAAGGACGGAACAATTTATAGGAAGCCAAGTAGCTCCTGTCTCACTGTCTCTTCCTTTCTGACTCAGTGTGTGTGGGGGGGAGGTTTACATCCCCTCCTACCTGGGCTGCTTTTGCAGGCATGCATAGACCTGAAGTAGGAGAACCAGGAGTGTGTGGGCATCGGTGGGACATCTATATCGACACTCGATGTATTCCACATCCTTGCTGCTTCCCATCCACATGTGTTGGATTAGCAGCCACTACTTCTGTGGGGCTTCCTAGGGAGAGCCAAGAGTGTGGTGGGGCAGGGGTGTTTCCCATACTCCTTACCTTCAATCCAGTTTATTAAGGTTCAGGGTGAGGAGTGGCCCCTCTCTAACTTCTCTTCCTCTTGGCAGGAGGGACTTGGTGTTTAATGGAAGACTTCCTATATCTCCTAGGGCACTTCTCTACAGGGGAGCGAAGGGCAGGCCCACCTACCTCCCTGATGGAAGGACTCTTCCATGATTGTCAGAGCTGGGAAAATGGTTATGTCATCCAGTCTGTCCATTTACAGAGGGAAACTGAGGCTTGAGGAAGGAAAGTAAATCACACACTCACAGAGATTTAGAGAGGACAGAATCTCACCCTCCCTCCGTGTAGTGTTCCCATCTTCCAGGTTAACCCTTTCTTCAGACCTATGTTTCCTAAGAAACAGAAGGGCTATGAGATTTTGAGGGGGAAAGAACAGACATTGGAGGGAGAATGTAGATTGAAGTCTTTGGTAGAAAAACACATTTTATGTATTTTCAAAGAAGAATTTCTCAGTGGCTTGCAGATGTATAGCATTTATTTAGATAGAAGAGTTCCTCTTCCTTGGGAGGCATATGGCACGCTCAGCCAAAGATCCTGGTACCATGAGTTACTCCGAATTTCAAGGGGCACTCAGCCACTGTCTCTGGAGGGTGGATGGCCAGACAGATCCTAAAAAGTGGCCTGAGGAATTTAGTCTAAATGTCAACTCAGGCTCCTCCACATTACAGTACACCTAGATTGAAAAACAAAACAAAACAAAACAAAAACCAGGAAAGGAGAAAGGAAACAGCTCATCTGCTAGAAAGCCAATGCGGGTACATGTGTCTCTGAATGGGAGACAGAGAACTCAAAGCAAAATCAAACACTCTCAGAGACAATAGAAAAGTTGGGGGCTCTCTTTTTTTAGTTTTGAGTTGTTGGTATTCTCCTTTGACCATGCAGAAGGTGATGGTGGTGGCCTGACCCTGAACTGGTATTCACTTGACCAACCTGCTGGTCACTCAGGTGCCAAGACACATTTCCCCACGTTGGGGTGGTAGCCACAGTCTCTTCCAATTCGTGCTTGAGACTATTAGGAGGCACTGGTGAGCAGAGAAGGGGATGCTGAAGGGAAAAGGGTGCCACTCAATGCTTGGGATATAGCATTAGGGTCTGGTACAGTGGGGCAAACAACAAACATCCTTTCCATTTTGACATTCACAACCCAGTTAGCTTAGGGTTCTGTGCTGTGGTCCCTAAGCAGATTCATCTGTGTCCCACGTACGTCAAGTCTGATGCCTTGCAAAACATTGTATTTCATAGTCGGGATGTTTGGTACAAGCCTTCTTCAGAGTGTCTCTTGAAGCTCTGATGGACAAGTGAGCCTCACATCCATGACGGTGATCTGCTGTCATATGTGGTATTCTCCACATCACCTGCTTGCATGAACTTTGGACGAACCATTAACCTTCGTTGCCCTTTATAAATCTGAGTTTCACCTCATTTGTTTTTGTTGAGCTTTCTGATTTGTTCTAAGTAAAGGGCAGTGGTGTCCTGTGTGTGACAGCCCAGCAGTTAGTCTGCTGGAGGTGGGAACCTGGAATAGTCATAACTCTCTTTGGCAGCATACTTAAGGTTCACCTGCAACCCTAGGAATTTCGGTTGGAGGAATTAGAGGCATGGGCTGCACCTGCCAACCCGGAGTGAGAGGCCAGAGACGCTCCCTGCTGTCGCATCCCTTATCTCCTGTCTAATGTGCCCTATTATTTTTCCCATTGCAGATGACAGCAGCAGCAGGGGTAGCCCTTGAGGAATCTGGTGATGGCCCTCAGTCACTTTGCATCCAGAGCCTGGCAAATTCAGTGTCTGCCACAGAATTGAGAGCCAGGTAGGGGCCTGAGATCCCTGGCCTGCTTTGGCATGGGGTCTTCTCTGCTACCCTCCCATGCACACACATATTCCTGGCCTCAGGGAAATCTGTTTGTTTTTCTGAGACAAGATTTTGCTATATAATTTAGGCTGGCCATGAGCAACTAACTCACTCTGTAGCCCAAACTGTCCTCAGTTTCCCAGCAATCCTCCTGCCTCAGCCTCCTCAGTGCTGGGATCACAGGTGCATACCCAGCTTCAGGGAACTTTCTCAGCCTTTATTTCCCCCTCATTATGGTTTTCTACCTTCTGGTTAACAAGTTCATGCTCCCAACTAGAGTGGGTGACTCCCTCTTGGCACAGACGGTCATTTCACTTCTGTTTTTTCCTTTTGGCCAGCTGGGTTCCGGGTGTTCCTCCGCAGTGGGATGCAGATGTATTATTTCAGCTCTCTCCTCTAGGACAGCTGCCCCATTCTCCCACCATCCGCATCCTACACCAAGTATTTCCTGCCCAGAAAGCTGTGTTGTATCCCTTTCTTCAAGTCGAGGTATGGCAGCAAGTCTCTCCACATTGCCTCTGACCAGCTTCTCCACTTCCTTTCTAGGTTCAGTGAACAATTCTACCTGTCCAGATACCATGTGAGATGCCAGAAGTAGGGGCCAACAGCCTACTTCCTCTGTCTCTGGCGCCAAGTGGGTGCCTCACTGCCCACCACCTCCACCCTCCTTGCCTGCTGGTAGGTGTGCTGCTTCTGCCCCTGCCCCTGCCCCTGCCCCGGTAGCTGGTGCATGTTGTCTCTGGGTATGTTGCCTCTTGGAGACCTAGTGAAGTGATCCTCCTTCCTCAGCCTCTGGTTTGCTAGAACTACCGGAGTGTGCCCCAGGCCTGACTTCTCTGGGACCATTTGTGTTGTTTGGCTTCTCCTAGGAAAACCTTGAGTTGGGACATGGCCAAGAGCAGAGCACTTCCTTAGTGTACACAAGGCCTGGGCTTTGAGTCCAGTGTCACAGCCAAGAGCAAGCCTTATTGACTCCATGCTTCTCCTTGGTGACCTCAAACCCTGGTCTTCAGAGAGCCCCTCCTGGTGTCAAAGGTCCAGCCTTTTCCTGTGGAACAGACACTTAGGGGGTGTGGAAAGGGCCCAGTAAACAGACACTGTTCCCACAGGAGTGGAAGGGTACGGTGATAAATGTCCTTCTTGGGGCTACAAGTCTGAAGCCCCAGATGTGCACCCTGGGAGAATACCCAATTGTTTTGAGGGAAAAGAGTTTTTTTTATCTGGTGCCCGTTCCCCAGGATCAGGGTCTCAGGCTCTGAGAGCCTGTTTGTCTCTGCTCATTCCCACCAGATCCCTAGGGAGATGGCTGAGGGTAGCATCAGCCACACTTCTCTGTTAGCCCTGGTATCGTTGCCCTGTGGGGCTCTGGAGAGTTGTCCAGGGCCAGAGCATCTTCCTGCTACCTGGGCTCTGAGGCTGAAGTCACCTTGTCCTGTGACCTTGGAGGTGCCTCTCTCAACTCCTGCAAACCCGACAGCCAGCCCAGCAGCAGGCCAGGCCTGCCCTGGCAGAAGGCAGAAGCCCTTGCTCTGAGGAAGGCGCTGCTTCCCTGGTCGGCAGCTACTTTGAGTTAGAGATGGAGCAGGTAGGCCATGGTGGGTAACGGGTCCAGCAGACGGTAGGATGCAGGAAATGTCCCTGTAAGTAGTCAAGTAGTACATATGCATGGACACTTCGGTGCCACGGAGACCATTACCAATGATGACTCCACAGCCCCTGACTTCCAGCAGGGTGGAAGACGGCTCCCACCAGTCTCACCTGCTGGGCAGCTGCAGTCCTGGTTTCTGCCACACGAGGGCACTGCCGACCAATTAAAACTCACCCTAGCTGCCTAGGTGAGGGCACTGTCTCCCCAAGACATGTTGGAAGGCCCCCCAGAGAGCCCAGAGGCAGGACTGGAAAGCCAGCAAAATAACTGCACCACTTGTTCTTTCTGCAAGATAACCTGAGCCCCAAGACACTTCTGTCGTGGCCTGTGGCCCCACTGCACTCCCACCTGGCTCCAGGCCTGGAACACTGTGCCCAGGTGCTCATTCCTTTAGGGCGTAGCAGGCACCAGCTGTTCCTCTCTACTGTCCCCTTGCCTCCATGACAGTTGCTTTCTAAGCCAGAGGGTGGGGGTGTGTGGGGTTTCACAGGGAGAGGTCTCTTACAAGTGTTCTGAGGAAAGTATCTTTGTGTGTGTGTGTGTGTGTGTGTGTGTGTGTGTGTGTGTGTGTGTGTATGTGTGTTTGAGACAGGGTCTCACTATGTTTTTCAGGCTGGCCTTGAACTCACTTTGTAGCCCAGGATGGTCTCAAATTTGTTTCCTTTTTTTTTTGTCTTTTTCCTTTTTTTATCGGTACCGAGGATTGAACTCACGACTGCCTGCTTGCAAGGCAGGTGCTTATGCCGCTGAGCTAAATCCCCAGCCCCGATGGTCTCAAATTTGCAAGGATCCTCCTGCGTCAGCCTCCCAAGTGCTGGGATTACAGGTGTGTGCCACTGTGCCCAACTCTGAGAAAAGTATTGAGGCTGATTGTGGTGGTGCATGCCTGTAATTCCAGTACTTGGGAGGCTGGTGCAGGAGGATCACTGTAAATTGAGGTCCATAGTGAGCTCACAGCCAGCCTGAATCAGATAGTGAGACCCTTAGAAAATGAAAAAGAAAAGAATCTTTGTTAGTAAGAAGGCATTTGGGGGATTGAAGACAAGGAGAGTTACCTCCCCAGCACAGACCCACAGAACTCAAGACAGCATAAATAATAGGCACACCCAGGACATGCCAGGGTTCTGAGCTGAGGGCATGTGGGGCCATATTGGCCATGCACCTCACACTTACCCTGTGCCAGCTGTGACTCTGCTATGGGTGTCACAGAACACCCACGAAGTGAGGACCCTCGACCCACCCTCAGTCCCCATGAAGCCCTTAAAGTCCGCGCAGACTCCAGGAAAGGACAGAGGTCCTCCTCCCCTCCTCCCCCACGCCCGAGGCCCCTCCCCAGGAGGACAGCTTGATTAAACAGTCGGCGCTGCTGGAATCACTGCACAGCTGGCACTCCCCCCAGCACCCCGAGCAGAGCAGCAGTGCAGATTAAAATCTCCAATTAGCGTTAAAGTGAAGTGAGGAGGTGTGGAGGCTGCCAAGGAGGCCAGGCGGGGGCCCTGGGCCGGCGCCCCCACTCTTGCCTGGCTTCCCAGTGCCACCCTTCATCCTTTGTGGCCTAGCTGCTCTCCAGAGATGCCTGGTGCCCGTTAGCCTCACATCGCTTGGGACACTTGGGAGAGAGGCTCCTCTGGTAGGGGAGACACCCTACCTGGTGGGAACCCTGGGAGGCTGGAGGAGGAGGAGAGTGGCCACTGCTCATCCAGGGAGGTGCCCCGCTTATAGCCTGCCAGGCAGCCAGGTCAAGGTGACTGCACGAAACTGTGCTGCTTCCGCCCAGAGCAAGGGCCAACAAGACCAGGCCCTCTTTGCTGTGTGGTGCCTGGGGGCCGGCACCCACAAGAATCCCCATTCCTGCAATGTTCCATTCTGCCTGACCTGTCTACCCCAGATCCTGGCTCCTTCCTATCTTGCTCCTTGCATCCATCTCTTGGTTTCCTATAGGCAAGCGTGGCCACAACCAGGCTCAGGAGCATCACTGTGCCCTGCCACCTGGGTTTCCATCGGCTTCTCATTATCTTCCAGTCACATGGCAAGAATGGAGGTCTGAGACTGCCCCCCACCCCTGAACATCACATCCCCCCAAGGCCCTGCTACCATTTACACTTCTGCCCTTCACCCGCCAAGCACAGAAGTGGCCAGCAGTTAGCCACACCCCTGCCTGCCCTCTACCCCTTTTAAGGGAGATGGAGCAGAGTACCCAGTTGACTGAACCTACTCACACCTCCAGAAATTAGACACCAGGGCACAGCGCCACCCTCCTGGGCTGGCACATGCTACCCTGGCAAAGGTTCAAGCAGCCCCCCTGCCATTTTCCTACCCCTATGTCTTCCTCTACGCTCTTCCTTTCTCTCCCCCTTTTCTCTCAGCCAAAGCACAGCTGAGCCTTAGAGGGGGCGGGAATGGGGGGACCAGGCTGGGGCGGGGGTGGAGCTCCAGCAGCACGTTTTCACCTGCCATTTAATTGGATGTATTTTTAATTAATGGGACCTCAGGGACCAACATGAGACAATCTGAGCTCTGAATAGGAATAGGGGAGGGATTGGGGAAGGGAGGAGGATTGGGCCATTGGGTGCGGTTACCAGGAACCCAGGCCCATCAATCACTGGCCACTTTGCGTGCTGGCATGGAGAACGTCAAGATGGAGGAGGAGAGGAGGCACTGGGGAGAGGTGCCAGGGTTTCCCCCAGCACCCGGGACCTCCAAAAGCAAGGGGGCTGTGCTGCTTGACTTGGGTCTGGAGCCTAAAATCACAGTCAGGAGGGTAGGTAAGGTCATCCCCTGGCACCATGTCCAGTTGGCTTAGTCCAAGGCATGTGATAAGATTGTAAAAGGAGGTTGGGGACAGAGGTTGGAGGTTCCTGAAGAAAGAGGACCAGAACGAGGGACCATAGAACCAAAAAAGGTGAGGTGAGGGGTGGAAGAGTGGAGAGCAGGTGCTGTGTTCTGCTGCAAAACCAGTGTCACAGACAAGCGAGTGTGATGCCCTGGGCTCTGAGCCACAGACTGCACTGCTGCGGGAGGACAGTGGGGCCATCTTGCCTGCCCTTTATTTTACAGATGCAGAAACCAAGACCCAGGGAGGGGAATTTAGTGGAACCCTGTCCCAGAGTCGCTTTGTTGCTGGATTTGGAGACTTCCCGGAAACAGGAGAAGGAAACGTAGGTAGGTGTGGAGGGAGGGAAGCCAGGGAAGAGGGGAACAGGATCTTAGAGCCCCCTGCCTGAGGTCTCTGACCCAGAGTCTTAGACATGCATGGCCACGGCCCAGCATTCAGGCCTCAGCACCCAAAAAACTAAAAAGCAAGGGAGTGGAGTGAGTAGGATGAGGCAGGTGCTGGCTTCCTGAGGTGCTGCTGGGAAACGTTTCCTCCATGTCACCTGCTCCAAGGCCTTTCTCACTGTTCCCTCCCTCCACTCCAGGGAACATTGTCCCAAGCGCTCAAGTCTACAGGATGGAAGTGTGGCACCTACCCTACTCCTTCACCTTCACTAAATCCCCCAGCCAAGACTAAATAGTGGGCCTTTTAGGAACTCTATCACAAGTGTGTCTGCTGTAAATGCAGCCACTGGAGAAAGTCAGGCCAAAAAGTATGGCAAGAAGGGACCTTACACCTCTTTATCTGTGTGTAAGCCTAGACCAGAGACAGAATTCAAATGCAAGGTCCTGGGGTTGGAATTAGAAATGCCCTGACTGCCCAGGTGACCTGCCCTGAAGCTGTCAGTCAGGCCCACTCTGGCTTGTGTGGCTTTGGTGCCTGGACAGAATGACAGCTGCCTCCACCTTGCCCACCCTTTGCCCCTTACTGTTCACCTGCTAAGGCTAAGGAAGGAAGGTGAGGCAACAGGGAACTCCCACCGAGCTGCTGGAGGTGGTCTCCCTCAGCACCCCCTCTCCTCAGAGCATCTGAGACTCTGGTTGAAGCTTCATGAGGTGAAGTTAGGGTAGAACAAGGACAGGCACAGAGCTTGGAGGCAGCCAGTAGAAACTTTGTCACACTTTCCAGGCCCCCACATCCTTCTCCCACCCCCAAGACTGTATTCGCTTCCTCCGTCCTAGTCTTCGCCTCATACCAGGCCCCTGGGAGGGGCGGGATCTGCCTGTCCAGCCCAGCCGCACACCCCCTCCAAGACCCCTGTTGGCGCACTCGCTGTCCCCTCCTCTGCATGCTCTGCCGCCTGTGAGTGCACAGGAACTGTGCTGGGTCTGGAGAGGATGCTTCTGCCCCCAGGGATATGAGGAAGCCTGCAAATGAAAGGAGACAGGGTGACATGCGAGGGCTTTGGGCAGGGACACTCAGGGTAAATGTTATTTAGGGGTTTTGGTAGTCGTGGCTGTCTCCAAGCTGCTGTCTCTACTTAAAACCCAAAGCAGTGGAGAAGAGCTGCCACCCCTTTGTGGTATTTGTTACCCTCATCCTGCCCTGCTGCTGTGCATGGGAGGGGCCGGAAGGTCCTAACACCCTCACTCCAGGTTCAGGGTGTTTTCCTAAGGAGCAGAGCCTCCCTCTGGCCTCTGGCCCTGCCAGCCCTGCCTCACTCTTCCAGGGGCTCCGCAATCTGAGCCTGGAGTCTGCTGTAGAGTCCAGGAGAAGCCTGGAGCTGTTTGAGGGAAATGGGGCAGATGAGCTGCCTGGGAGAGAGGACAGAATACCCCACCTTCTGAAGGAAAGAAACAGGCCGAGGTGCCCAACACTGGCCTGGACATGGCTTCCTTTCTACCGGACCCATCCTCCCTCTGCTTGGGAGAACTGTAGAAACCCAAGCCTGTCACCTTGGTACCTTGAGCTCGTACATGCAGGTCCCCTCTCTGGAGAACCCAGCACTGGAGCAGGAGGGAGTGGAGGCAGGCAGTGAGGAGATGGAGGTAGCAGTGTGTGGTGCCCATCAGCACCCGAGGAAGAGAAACTGCCAGTGAGGAAGCCCGAGGAGGTGCCTGCCCCACCCTCTCCTGCTCCCCCCTTGTGCCAGCATGCCGTGTGCCCAAGTGCCAGCTCTTCTGGCTAGCAGTCCCGTTCCTTGTGCAGGCAGTCGGCTCCCTGCCCCAGCACGGCACATGTTGGGATTCTCACACTCCTTCGCTCTCATGTCTTCATGTCTGCTGCGGATTTCGAGGCTTGCAGGGGGGTGGCCCCTTAGGTGCCCATTTGCCGGGCTGGCAGAGCAGGGAGGGGAGGCTGCTGACAGCTCAGTGGCGCTGAGGTTCTGGTGACTCACGGCAGTGGGGGTGGCTCATGAAAACCAGAGGCGAGGGGGCCCAGCCTGTTAGCACTCTGGTCGCCCCAGTTCTCCCCACTCTGAGGTCTATATCCTGGGAGGCCCCAGCTGTGAAAGGAGACAGGGCTGGAGGAGCCTAACCATCTCAGGTGAGGAGCTTCCAGAAGAAAGGCGAGGAGAGCCAGGTTAGCCTCGCCCTGCTGTCCCCGCGGGCTGTGCATGTGCTAGAGCAGCCAGGTCCCCATCTCAGCCTACACCTCGACTCCTCCCTTCCCTCACCTGCCTGCCTAGAACCCTGGGTGGCCAGCTGACAGCAGCTGCTTAGAAAGTGTATGTTTTAAAACCCCACTGCCCCCACACCAGAACCTGGACAGATCCTTACCTCCTCCTGGTAGAATAGATACCTGGGGCTAGAGAGAAACAGCTAGGGGCTTGGGCTGGCTACACAGGCCAATGGAACAGAACCACAGGTCCTCAGAAGTGTGCATGCCCTTCATCACTCCAGACCAGCTGGGCAGGGTGCAACCTTTTGCATCCTTTCTGGGTCAGGACACTGTGCTGGAGGTCACACCAGGAGAAAGAGGCCAGCAGGTAGATCCAGAGAACCGTTAATGCCCCAGCCATAGTCCTAGGTGGCCTGGGACTGGGCCTGGCCAGGGACACAAGCAAGGCTGTTGGGCACCAGTGTATCTGCATCCCTGGAATAAGGTCACTGATCTCTGGCTCTGGAAGATAGGCTAAGAGGAAGGGGACCCATGACAGAGCCTGAGTTCATTTGCCCACTTCACTCCCTTCTGTTGTTAGCAGCTCCTCCTGCAGCTAGGGTTGGGGGCTCACTGCCCAGCTGCCCCTCATGATCCAGAGATAGCTTTGATTGGAAAGAGACCATGCACACTTTATCTAAGGCAGTGGAGTCAGCTCCATGCATCCTGTTTCCCTCAGTAGCACAAGATGCCTAACTAAGGCACCCCGGACAAAGCTCAGTTCTAACCCAACACATCCCTGGGTTCTGGGTATAAAAGTGGCACTGGGAAGGGGCCTTGAGTGTACCAAGTAGGGAGTGGATCCCCAGGGGAGAGGTAAGAATCGCTCCTCTGTGCCGTGTGCTCTTGATCTTCCTTCTCAGCCCCTTTCTTCCCCTTTTCTTTCATCTCTCACTAGCAAACTCTTCTCCTGGCACCTCCTTCCCTCCAGTCTGAGAGGACATGGGAAGTGCTCATCTGATCCCTGCACTTTTCTCTTGTACTTTCTTCAGCTCTTCCCAGCTCCCTACTGAAAGCTACCTGTTTTTGAGTCCTTTGCTCCAGAGAATGCCACTGGGGTCTGAACCCAGGCCCCCAGACTCTGGAGGCTGCTTCCCCGATCCTTGGATCCATGTGCTAAGAAGGACACATCTGTCCTCATCCCAACCCACATGTGTGCCCGGCCAACACTGGTGTGTGCGTTGGCATCAAGGGCCCTGCCGTGGAGCAGAGGGCAGCCCTAGGTATGCGCTGGGGCCCAGCCCTGGATGTATGTGTGCCCGTGCATTGGACACACCGGTTTATTAGTGTTATTTCAGCATTGTGATGCAGAGAGAGTAAGTGTAACAGCTGCTCCTTACTTGCAGTGTTTATTGTTACCTAGAGACAACCTCTTGGCTTTTTCCCAGCTCCCCTTCCCCCCAGCCCAGCCCCCTCCCTGCCAACAATCCTGCTCTTCCTACACTGATGGGAAATTTATAGCTTGCCCATACCATGCCTTTAACCCTCTCCTGTCCATCAGGTAGGTGGCCAGGGAAGCCAGGGTGAGCCATGGGCCCTGGCAGGGTAGAACAGTATGCTGGAGAAGAAGCAAGGAATGACACATCTCCTCCATTCTGTGTGTCCAGGCCCAGGCCCCTGTTGCCCTTCTGGTCCTCACAAGAAGCAAAGAGAGCAAAGAGTCCTGGACCTGGTCTTGAGACTCTGGAAGTCTTCATTTGGACCCAGCCTTGGGATCCGACATCCTGTTGACCAGACCCTCCTCTTCCCTGGAGATCTCTAAGCCCCCAGCTGTGTTGGCAGAACCAGAGGGGAGGCAGCCAAGTGGTACTGAAAGGGAAGTGAAAGACCAAGTGGCAGAGTCCTTAGCCCCTCCTTTCTGTCTGGGAGAGGTGGCTGGATAGAGTTGTCACACCAAGGGGCCCAGGCTTGGGAAGACACTGGCCAGACCTCCATAGCTGGACAGGTCCAAATCCAAAGCCTCCCTTAACCTCAGTTGGAGACCATGCACAGGTCTTCGTTGGCCTTGGTCTGCTTGTCCTTGCTGCTGCATTTTTCCTGTGTGTCTTTGGGTTCAGTGCCTTGGGCCAGAGGCTGAAGAGACTGAAGCATCCTCGGATGGCCTCCGCAGAGCTAGGGAAGTGGAAGCCTGGAACCGTTCATGGAGGAGTCACGAGGAACCCAGTCATCTGCTCCCCATCCTCTCTGGGAGCACATGAGAGAAAGGGCTTGGATAGAACAGACAAGGTAAAGGTTAAACACGTGAGGAAACTTCCTGGTGGGACAGAGGACTTCAGCAGATGGGCCTGCCCTCTCCAGAGTTCCACCTGCTGCCCGTGAAGTCGAGTCTATGCATGGATGTGCAGGGACACTGAGGCACAATCCTCCCCCTGCAGGCTGCTCACACAGCACACCTCCTTGCACCATCAGGACAGGATACCTGTGGTGCGTAGGTCCCCAATTAATGCAGCAGGGGGCCAGCTCCCAGTGCCAGCTCCACTGCTGGCCAACTACATCAGTAAGTCACCTGGCCCCTTCGAGCCTGAGTTCCTCTTCTGTGATGTGCCGTGAACTGCTCCTCTCCAGGGTTGTGGAACTTTTCCAGCTCCTCTGTAAGCACCCAGGACAGTGCCTGACACTCAGTGCTTGGGCAGCAGAGCACTGTCACTGGTGGACCAGCAGGGCCTGCGTGATGCCCTTCACAGGCTAGGGAAAATGTCCACGGTTTTCTTCATGACGTGGACTGAAGTGGCAGTGCCCTGCGAAGGACCCAGGTTCCCCCACTCCCAGGCCTCCCTCGCAAGGAGAGAAGTTGCTGTCTTAGGCACTGTTGTGCCTGCAAGTATTGTGTAGCCAGAAGGAGGTGGGTGAGGGGCAGCCCTTGAAGGATGGCAGCAGCCAGCTTTGTCCAGGCACTTGACACTGACTGACAGCCAGAGCAGTCCAGGAAAGAAAAGAGAATTTACTCCATTTCTTGGGTGTCTGCTGTGCATCAGCATCACACTGTGTGTTTCTTGCTGCTGCTGCTGCTGTTGCTGCTGCTACTATTGTAGTGTTTTTGTTTCATTTGGTTTTGACTTTCTGAGACAAAGTCTTGCTGTGCAGTCCAGACTGCCTTGGACTCCTGGTGATCCTCCCTCACCTCCCGGCTCAGTGGGCAGTGCTGGGGTTACCATGTGCACCACTATGACTGGCTCTGAGTGTTTTGTTTTGTTTTTTTAAGTTTGTTTAAAGAGTCTGTGGAGTTTTAGTCACCTACATAAGCTGATTTATCAGTCTCATCCCCTGTTGTTTTTTTATCATTTAGATTCTTTTTAGGCAGGGTCTTGCTGTGTAGTTCAGCTATGCCTTGAACTTACTTTGTAACCCAGGCTGACCTTGAACTCATAGCAATCCTCCTCCTTCAGCCTCCCAAGTGCTAGGGTACAGGTGTGCACCATGCCCAGCTCAGTTAGATGTTTGCACTGCTATAAATAATGTGGCAGTGACTATCCAAACACATAAAACTTCTAATACTGAGGATTGAACCCAGCACCTTGTACATACTAGGCAATTTCTCTACCACTGAGCTACATTCCCAGCCCATTTTTAATCTAATTAATTAAGGTCCTGCTAACTTTCCTAGGCTGCTCTCAAACTTGAAAATTCCTGCCTCGGTCTCTTGAAAGCTGAGACTCTCAGTGTGCACCCTGCTTGGCATCTCGCATTGTTAATAAATTCCAAGAGTGGATTACTGGGTCAGTAGATACAAATACCCATCCCCCATGGTTATGATCATTTTACTGATGTAGCCTAATGAGAATAATATTTATTAATCTTCCTCCCCGGAATTCTACAATGAGAACACACAGGCAGCTCCTTCTGTATACCCAGCAGAGACATTAGTAATTTATCATAGCTTTAAAAAAAAAAAATGAGATTGGGCTGGAGATTTAGCACAGTGGCATAAGTGCCTGCCTAGCAAGTGCAAGGTCATGAGTTCGATCTCCAACACCAGAAAAAAAAAAAAAAAAAAAAAGGAATTATAGATACACATGTTGTTGGTAAGAAGTGATTCAGAGGTCCCGTGTACACCTTGCCCACTTTCACTGAAAGTAACGGTTCATAAAACTGTTAGAATGTCACAGCTCGATAGTGAAACCGCTACAGTCCACCGGCCTGGGGAACATTTTTCTTGTCCTCATGTTCATATGTGCATGTGCACATATTAAGTCCTAAACTGTTTTATTACCTGAGTGAGTTTGTGTATCCACCACCACAGTCGAGCACCACAGAGGTTCCTGTGTTTTGATAATCACACCTATCTCCCCAACCCCTCAACGTTTTGCACCGCTCCTCTGTCCACTTCTACATTTTGTCCCTTCAAGAATTGGAACTACAGATGTAACCTTTCAGGACGGGTTCTCTTCACATGGCACAGCACCCTGGAGATCACCCAGGTCTAACCCCTAACACAGACTTACAGGTCCTTAACCATTTACCTGTTGAAGGACATCTGGGGATCCCAGTTTTTGGCTATCACGAATAAAGTTGCTATGAACAGGTATGGCTGAATTTTTTCTGAACATCTTTACGGTTACCAAATTGTCTCTTGGCAGAGTTCTCTCACTTTGTGCTCTAGTACTAGCTGTAAATGAAATGGCCCGTTTTGCTTAGTTTGCTGCATGTTTGATGGTCACAATTGTTAGGGTTTCTTATTATTATTATTTTTTTTGTTTTGTTTTTTTATCGGTACCAGGGATCAAACTCATGACCACACACTTGCAAGGCAGGTACTTATGCCGCTGAGCTAAATCCCCAGCCCCAATTGTCATGGTTTCTTACAGGACCCCCAAAGCCTCATGTGCTCGCACGCAGGCTTTTGAAGGGGGCCTGGATGACCGGGTTGTCCTGGCTGACTTGCTCATAGGAGGCGGGGCCTGTGGGAATAGGTGGTCACTGGGCCAGGCTCTGAGGCCCTGTCCTTCTCCCTGGCTGCTCCTTTCCCTCTTTGCCAGGACCTCAGAGGCTTGCCCTCTTTCCCTCCCAGACCCTTCTGCCTTGCTGTTTTTTGAGTCCACTGAATGATCTGGAACTTCTAAAACGGAAGCCAAAATAAAACTTTTCCCTTTCAGTTGCATCAGGTACTGTGCCCCAGCCACAAAGAAAGTGACGCATACTTCCCTAACAGGTGCTCCTGCTCGCTTCATTTTGTAGATGAGGGCAACAGGCTGAGGGTCATTTTCCCGGGAGCATGTACTACTAAATGGCACAGAAGAGCACAGCTGACAAGAGGACTGGCTCCCCCTGCCCCAGGCTCTCAGGCAGGAGCCCTGGGCACACAAAGAGTGAGGGGCCGGGCGGGTGGAGGGGCCTTTCCTTGCACCCTCAGCCTCAGGTTTGGCAGAAGCGGAAGCAAAACATCAGTCCAGCACCTGGCCTTCTCTCTCCTGCTCTTCCCGTGGCCTGGCTGGGCAGCAAGTGCTCAAGAAGCCAGAGGAGCCCATTGATGAAGCTGGGCACTTGGTGAAGCTGACAGGTGAACACCAGCATGGCCTGGACATGACAGATGGCTGAGATGCTAGTGTACAGAGGTTCTCCTCTCTGGGAGCTCTGCCTGACCACTTCCTACTTCTTGCTGTAGGGGCCTCCTCTGAACCATTCTTCATACTGGGGATTCAGGCAAGGCTTCACACTGAGCTGGAGCCCCATCCCTTATTTTCTCTTTTGAGACAGGGATTCTTGAATCACTAAGATGATCAAGCTGGACTCAAACTTCTGATCCTCCTGCCTCAGCCTCCCAGATGGCTGGGATTCCAGAATGCACCCACTGCACCCAAGTGAGATGGCTCCTGCTTCCTTGGCCTATTCTATCGGTCTAGAACCAAGCCAAGGCTGCTTGTTACTGTCTACTTTGGCCATCAGGAACAGCCTGTCTCCCCATCCCTGCCTGGTAATTCCAGCCCCGTGGAAGTGGGGGTCTGCCTTGGCTGGAGGTTCTCTGACAAAGGAAGGGCAAGCACTCTTGGTTCTTCCCCAGTCCTGAGTGAGGCTCCCTTGACTCTCAGAGGCAGGGTACTTCAGCCTGGGAGGTCAGGCCCCTCCTTGCTGCCCTTCTATTCCTGATCCTCTCATCTGGCACCATCACTTCCCCCTTCCTTTTCCTTTCTTTCTTTCTTTCCTTCTTTCCTTTCTCAGCAAGTTTTTTATGTGATTACAGGCACTGCATGGTAATTAGTGCTAAACTCATTTGTACAACTACAGTTAATTGGCTACAACAATTAATTAATGTGTTGGAAATTTGGCACTAGAAAAAAAAAGTTTGTCATCAAAAAAGGGGCAAAAACTCGAGAGTGAGTTACCCATAAAAATCGAGGGCAGGCTTCAAAAGCCCAGCTGGGCCTCCAACTTGTGGCCAGCCTTAGATGCCGCCCCTCTCAACTTCAGCACGTTTTCTGCTCTTTTTTCTCCTTTCTTTCCCATCTTTTTTTCCTTTTTCTTTTTTCTTTTCTTTTTTTTTTTTTTTTACAACTTAAGCAAACTCATTTCCCTGATAAAATATAGCATGACTAATGGCTAGAGCATGTAAAAATCATTGGGAAAATGTCCTTGGAAGACGAATGCATTTTCAGCAGAATAATTAACTTAATTAACAAATTCACATGCATATTCATCAGGCTATTAATGTCTTCTCGGCTCAGCTTGATGAACATTGCGGTAATAACCATCTCATTTACATACCGCATTCTACTGCGATCCAAAACAGACAACATACAGGCGAACACACACTCGCACGAACACACAACATGGCCCTGCTTCCAGCTTGACTGGGGAGTGCGTGTGCATGTGTATACGTATGCATGGATGCGTGTGTGGCAGGGAGAGGGTGGGTGGGAACCCCGACTGGGTGGCGTGATCTTTAGCGGGTCATGAGTCAGGTGAGCCAGGCAAGCCCACATGTGGATGTCTGCAGAAGTTAATTCCCATTCTCTCCCTCTCTGTCTCTTCTCTCTCCCTCCCTCTCTCCCTTCTCTCCCCCCTCCTCTTGTGTTTCCTTTTCTCTGTGTCATTTTCCTCTCCTCTCGCTCCCCCAACCTACCGCCTCTCCAGGGAAAAACTTGGTCTCCGTGCCAACTTTTCCCCTCCCCTCCTCCCGCTCCCTTCTCCTTCCCCTCCACAACTGCTGCCAGCCGGCGCCGGCGCCGAATTGCCATCTCCTTGAGCTCTCTGCGGAGCAATCTCGGGGAGCAGTAAGGTGTGACGCGAAGTCCGCCGGCTCCGCAGCACCGCCTGCGGAAAGAGCGCGGGCTGGAGGAGGAAGATTAAGAGCAATGGGCGCGGGGCTCGGCTGCCATTGGTGTGCGCGAGCGGGCGGAGGACGGCGGGCGGGGCACGAGGGGGAACCAGCAGCTGTCGGCCTAATTCTTCTAACACTCTGCTTGTGGTCATATTAGAAAAACAGATTATGCCCCTCGGTGCCACTCACTTATACTTGACATACGTTAATGCTCTATATCTCCATTCCCGGGTCTCGGCGCGGTGGCCCTGGGGCCGCGGAGGCCGGGCCGAGCGGCCACGGGGCACAAAGGAGCCGGCCGAACTCTTCCTGCCCATTAGGGAGCGAGCCCACACCGGCTTTCGCCAGACACACCACGGGGCCCTGCAGCCCCTGGGGAGGGGCGGAGGTCAGAGGTCAGGCAGCCCTTTGCCCTAAAAGTCACCTTGCCCTTCCGGGTTTCACTCTAGGGCCAAAACGTAGCTCTGTTGGCGCCCCCAGCCCTAACCTTTCTAGGATCCCTCCACCCCAATCCGAAATCGGGGGCTTGGGGCCTCAGAGAAAAGCATCTCTGATAATGGGCGCCCCGAGAAGAGAAGGGGTCACAAAGAAACCCTGAGCAGAAAAAGGCCAGGATTGTTTCTGGGTTGCCACGGAAACCAGGTTGCCTCCTCCTGGCGGGGAGGAGTGTTTGCGGCCCGCCTCCTTCTACCAATCCCGAAGGTTGGCGGGTGGGCGGAGCCTGTTAAGGCCCAGCGAAGGGCTGGGTTTGGAGAGCAATCTGGCCCTCCACCCTCAGGTCCAGAGCCCTTTGACCCCCACTTTCCCTGCCTGTCACCCCAATATTCAGTCAAAATAAGCTTTTTCCTCTGGTGCTTCGTCCTCCGTGCAGACTTGTTGCTTAGCAACCGATAGTGCTTCCTCCCTAATAATTCGCAGGGACTGAGAGACATAATATCTGTCTCTATATTCAGTCCCCCCCCCCGCTATTTATATTTAATAACTGAAGCCCTGTCTTGAGTTCCCTCAGCACTTGCTGCAGCGGGCTTGTAGGAGGGGTTCTGCTCCAGCCTCAAGGAGGGGGGTAACGGGGGGGGGGGGGGCGGGGTTACTCCTCAACAGAAAGTGTGGGAGAAGGCTAGAGTGAATCCTGGGTCAGGGGAGCTGGGGAAATCATGTTCTCTTAAGCACAGGTAGAGAAGGTGGGGGAGTACCTAGAACACGGGAGACCCACGAGGATTCCTGAGGTCAGCTCTGGGTCCTGGTGGTAGAGCCTGATTGCTGCTCCCCAACCCCTCCCTGCCCTGCTTCCCAACCACTTTCCAGTCGGGAACCCATCAGTTTCAGTTTCCTAGTGTCCTAGTGTCTGGATGTTGGCATCCAGGAGGGGATGCTGCGCCAAAGTAAGGCCCCCAAGCCCTGGGTGTCTCCCAAAGTCTTGCTGTTACTAAGAAATTCTGAACACTCCTCCACAAAGCCCCCTACCCCACCTGATCTGACAGAAAACAAGGATCAAGGAAGGCCTATGGGAGCCTGGTGTCCCAGTAGCCTCAGAGGACTGGGTTTGGGCAGCTCTCTCTTCACTCTCCTGCTTAACCTTCTAAACCCCTTCTTGCCAAATCCGTATAGCAACAAAGTTTTCCTTGCTGGACTTTGGCAGACTGTATTTAAGTAGTAAGTAACACTCTAACACTGTCAGGTGGATGGCCGAGGCAGGAAAGGAAGGTGTCCTGCATCCAGCCTGACCCTGGGCTTAGGCTCCTGCAGCTCTGCTTCCGCCTGCCCAGCCCCCTTTGCCCTGTTGGCAGTAGAGCTGTGACTCTCTGTCCCTGCCAGTGGGTAGGGGAGGGGGCCTGGGAGTTACAAATCCAGACCTCTCAGGACAGCCATATGGTGGAGCCCTGTCATCCTCTTCACCTCCAGGTCCAACCTCAGACCTGGGTTCCCAGCAGCCGAGACAGCAGCCAGGCTGACACCACCCTCCCCGACCCGCTACTTTCCCTCACCCCCACCATGGTGCCAGCTCACAGACGTAGTTTCACCCACCAAACCCCCCTTCTCCAAACCTCTTCCAACCCGAGCCTTCTGTGGGAGACAGATGGGGTGTCTGCGATGGAAAAGGCTCTGGGCTCTATGCCGCCTTGGGTGGGCAGCCCCCTCCCCAGCTCCCCACAGCTCCTTCACCCTACCTAAGACACTCAGATTTACCTGGGTACCCCTGGGAGCTGCTCACCCTCCGAATCTTTCTGGAAGGCCCAATGCAAGGGGAAAGCAGTTAGGGGCTGCGGGGG